CACTCTTACAGAAGTAGTGGAACAAATAAAATGTCATTCGCCGACTTTTGCAAAAACAAAGTTGACTTAGACTTTGGTTTCTCAAACCTCAACACTGAAGTAAACTATTATTTCAATGCTGCTGGAGATGCTTGGGACCCAGTTAAGTTTACATGCGAAAAGTTTGAATGCAAGAGAATAGAAGCAGACTTGCAGTCTATATGTTGGACCCAGATATTTCAAATGCTTTAGCTGCCAAATATATTGCAGTTCCACTTATGTTCCCTATACACCAAATATCTGTCAAAGACTTTGCAGGTGAAGTTGGAAACCAAAGTGCTGACCCAGGTGCAAGAACAGATATTGCTTTAACAACTGCAATGAAACATGCAGATACTATGTTTGTACTGTTCAGACGAACTATAAATGACTATTCTTGTTTCTACAACCCTGGTATTAAATATCATATAAACATAGATGGCAAATATATCCAAGAGAAGAATATTCTACAGTTGAGGATATGAGGTCATACAACTTGACATTAGATGCTATGAACTTTAACAACAACTTCACAACAACCATTAACCCTGAAATGCAAAGTTCTATTATGCCATATGTGAAAGTATGGACTCATACAGGAGGTCAAAAAACTCAATATACAAATGGAGACCGTTCAAACTTTTGGCTTGGCATTCCATTTGCTGACTCAGAAGACTTTATGGGTGGTATTTCAACTGTTGGTACAGTTCAAATACAATATACTGGTGACAGAGACGGTCCAGATGAATTGAAAGCAAAGAAGTTTACAAAACCAATAGCACTTTTCACGGAAGATGCTCTTTTGAAGATTCGTTCGATGAAACCTGCTGGGGCTCCTCAGATTGGCATAACGACAGCTTCCATCGAGCAGATTTTGGCAGCAGGTCAGTAAGTTGTTCTTGAACTGACTTCTCTCCGTCAAATATTGACAGTACGCCAGTTTTGACATAAATTGTATTATAAACTTACCTTTAGAAATATCGTAAGTTTTGTTGTTATATTTTTGTCAACGTTCAAGAACTTTCACCATTTCAGTTATACCAACTTTCTTTGCTTTATGAAAATATTTTGGTTCAGCAAAGACTGCTATTCTATAACATTTTCCATTGTTTGTGTAAAGAACTATTCTGTCAATGTATTTGTATTGTTTGTGTGTGTAAACTTTGTTCTGCTTCAATTCGAAGAGATACTCGAATACGTCCATCTTTTTATTCTAAGTAAAATGTCATTTCCGAAAAATAGAAGCGTAAGTGTTTCAAAAGGTTTAATGGCGGTGGCAGATGTGAAGTTAAATTCACCAACTCAAACAACAGTCAAAGTGTTGTTGTCAATGTCAAAGAAAGAGATGTTGAAGTGGGGAAACCATACGAAGACGAAGATGGTATAACAATAGTTCCTGTAAAAGAACAACCAACATACCTGAAGTTAGCAGAGACTTAAGTTCTGTTGCAGATATTCGAAACGACTACCAACAACTTAAAGACAAACTTAAAACTCAGGAGAAGATTTGTCAAGCTTTGGTATAATGTTAAACTTGGTCGAACACAACCCTGTAAAAGTGAACTCATATGTCATTGCACCTCATGAAGTTTTGAAAGAACTATTGAAACTTTTGACAGAGGCAGACGATATAAACATCAAAGAAATAGAACCCGACATTAGTTGCTGTGGTGTTTCATATAATGTCATTGACAAGATATACGTTATGAAAGGAGGTGAAACGTTGAACTTAAAATATAGTTTCCCAGACGTCATAAAAATATTTGACGACCACAACATTTCATTAAAATTTACTTGCTAAGTAAATGGCAGAAGACATAGTGGTTTATACTATTACGACTAAAAACCCTGAGTCATATAATTCTATAACAACAAACTTACAAAGTCCTCAAGGACGATATTGTAAACTGACCTTAAACACGATGACGACTAAAGCCTGTTTTGCTCTTTTGACACCAGAAGACTTTGTTGTTGTGAATGGTAAAAAATACTTCTTTGAAGATACTTACTCAGATATACCACCAACAGGTTTTGTTGACTTATTTAATACTTTAAGGACGGATGTAACATGTGCTGCAACTAGAGCAGGTTTCATTATGTTTGGATGTCCGACTGAGTTTAGTATAAACGATATGAGCTATAATACAAAACTTATATCTGGTTTTTACTACCAACAGTTTCCTATAACAGGAAAAGGTGTCATACAAGGTTTGTCTGTTCCATTGACTTTAAGTACACCTATTTTATATATGTTTCAAACTTAGGTTCAAAGTGCTATTCGAATGTCGACAGAAACTACTATGACCAAAAGATACTCATGCGTATAAACAACACTTTCTCTGCTGGTTTGCCTATTGTTCATTCGAATGCAGAGTTTTCAGCTTTAGTAAACTCAAACACTTTAGCAAACATAAACTTAACCTTAGTTGACGCAAACTTTGTTCCTGTAAAACTTTTATGTCCTATGTATTTGTCAATGACGGCAGAAAGTTTCGAATTGGAAGATGCAACTGGTGAAAGTATTGTATACAAGAACAACTTCAACAACAATAGCTCAAGAACAACAAATGCAACAAATGGAAAACAAGTCAAGAATAAAAAAAATATTTTTTTTATTTTTATAAAATGTACAGAATAGATGTTTCAGATTTTTATGACTTCCAAGCATTCAGAAATATGTGTCCATTTAGAGACTATAACAAAGCAGTCGAGAATTTGAAACGTTTAGTCATTTATGTTGACTCTGCCCAGAATGTTATGTTATGAAAGAATGGGATGTTGTCTTTAACAAACCAAGAGCAACAATAGTGTCTGAACAAGAATGTAGACAGAAACTTAAGAAAATAAAAGTCGTACAAGTTGGATGAAGATGTTAGATGCTTGGGATATCTTATTGTCAAAGTTAGAAGATTTTTCAGTTCGTGGTATAAAGTTTATACACCTTCTCCAAACTTCTATTCTATCTTCACTGGATATAAATACGAACAAGTAGAATGGAAAGAAATATTATAGAAGCTTGGTTAGACCATGTCAAAGAAATTATATGCAATGGAAACGAAAGAGTCTATGAGTATATCTTATGTTGGTTTGCAAACATCTTACAACATCCAAGTGCTAAAATGAAACTGCTCTCATTATAATTGGAAAACAAGGAACTGGTAAGAACACTTTCTTTACAGATATTTTGTGCAAACTGTTAGAGGGCTATTCGAACCGAATATGACAAACTTAGAAAACATCTGCGGTAAATTTAACTCTTCAATAGAGAATATGAAACTTATAGTATTGTAAGAACTTCAAAGTATAGATACAACAAAAGTTTTTGAACTCAGATGCTTTGAAGAGTCTTATAACAGACAAAGTTGGAGTTGTTGAAAGAAAATATAAAGACCAAAGAGTTTGTGAAAATGTTGCAAACTTTCATTATGGTTTCAAACAATGCGTTCCGATGAAGTTAGAAAGTTCTGACAGAAGATATGTAGTTGTCAGAACGTCAGATTCTCATATGCAAGATACAGAATATTTTGACGACTTAGCAGAAACTTTGACACTACTTTTACAACCACTTGTTCTCATATTTCATGACATTAGATATTTCAAGTTCAATCCAAGACAAATTCCACATACCGAAGAGAGACAAACATTGTTAGAAGCAAACAAGAGTGTATATGAACTGTTTATAGATGAGACTAACTTTGAGTGTTTAGATGAAAGGTCATTGTACGATTCATATAAACAATATTGTCAAGAGTATGGTTATATGGCAGCGTCTAAACGAACATTCTTGGCAAATGTCAAAAGTCTTTTAGATGTTCAGAACGGCGTATATACAAAGAAAAATTTTTCTGAGTAAATTTTAAAAAAATATTTTTTTATCCGATAGAAAAGATGAGAATATATTCAGTCTCAAGTACATGACAGAAGTCAAAGAAGAACTAGACCCATTCGCTTATTTGAATGTTTACTTCTACCATTTTGAAAAGTCTACATTTGACAAAGTTTGGAACATCGAACCAGTTAAGTTTGCTATTGTGACTAAAAATGGTGCGAAATTTGAAGACTTAGACATAGAAGGTTTGTTAGCAGTCAAAGAAAATTTTGACAGAAGTTTTCAAACCTTAAAGAAGGCAAAGCATACAAACTTGTTATACCTTATGAACCAAAGAAAGCAGACGACTATGAATATTATGAGTCTAAGATAGTTGAAGTTCAAGGTAAATTGGGTAAAAGATTTTAGAGTCTAAGCCAGTGTTTGCTCCTAAAGAGGAAGAGAACTTTTGACATTGACCCAGAAATGTTTAAAAATAAAATTTTATTTTTACATGTCAAATTTCTTTTTCTCTGGAACTGGTTGGCTTTTCTCTCTTCTTCTACTTTCTTTCTTTCTTCTCTCTTCTTCTTCTTCTTCTGGTGGAGTTATGTCAAATTCTCAGAACCATATTTATGTAAAAGTTCTTTGTCCTTTAATAGCTCTTTCTATTCTGTTTTCTATTTCATCTTCAAGAACAGCGCATGTGTCTTCTTTGCATTCTAAGAACTTTTGTTGGACTTCATCTCTCCAGAGGCGTCATCTCTGTCAACAAGTCTGTCATTGACAAACTTAAAGACTTCTCTGCTAATGTTTTATGGTTCTTGTCATATTCCCAGAAACAGAACTTTAGAACAAATTCACCTTTCTTGTTTACACTATGTAAGATTTTATGGTCGACAGATGTTTTGCTGTCAAAAAGTTTGTCTCGAATATAGATAGCGAAATCGCTAGACATTTTCAAAAAGATAAAAATTTTAATTTTTCTAAAAATATGTTAGAAAAAAAGTTTGCTGACATTGACAAGAAATTTGAGAATGTTTTAAACAAGAACAAGAGGAAGTTGGAAAATGCTCAGATAAAACCCATACATGACAAGTTCCTATTTGCTCAGAATGGTATAACAGGTCTAATCGCACCACCTGGGTCGGGTAAGACTTTCACTTATCTTAAAATGGCTGCACAACAACAAGAACTAGATGAGAAGAACCCATTCTATGAGTTAGTAGTCATTTGTAGTACTTCGGGTCAATTTGACCAAACCGTAAATTCGTTCAAAGATATTATAAAAAAGTCTAAGTTAGTATGTATAAAAGACTCTGAGTTGTTAGATTGGATAAAGAAGTACCAAAGAAGAGTTTTGAAGTATAATGCTATAAATGAGTATGTCAATTCTAAGTTTAAAGACCCAAATGAGGAAATGCAGAGAATATTAGAGAAGAAACACTTCAGAAACAAACAGAAAGAGATAGAATACATTTCGAAGAAATTGCAATCTTACGATTGGAAGACTTACCCTCACAGATGTCTTCTTATCTTAGATGATTTCGCCTCTCATCCTTTGTTAAAGAACAGAGAACAAGACATGTGTCGAATTCTTAAGAAGCTCAGACACTTTAACATCTCAGTTGTCATTTGTGTACAGACAGCAAAGAGTTTAAGTAAGGATGTAAAGAGAATACTTACTGATATCATACTTTTCCCTGGATTGTCCGAAGACGATTTCATGGAACTTATGAAAGAGTCCATGGCAGGTAAGTTTGACAGACATGAACTATGGGAGAAGTACAAAGTCATACAAGACCCTCATACTTCTTTCAGAATTCATATCTACGCAAACAAAGTTCAAATTGTAAAAAGTCAATAAAAATAAATGGTTCATTTACTCTGCTTGTTTGAAGTTGTCAAAATACTCTGTTATTTTTCACGATTTTCATGAGTTTTAGGCGACTGGGGTTTCTTCCCTACTCGCTGTGCTTCACGATTTTCATACGGAATCTCTTCTCTCGGTTTTCCGAGGGAAGCAATCTTATGCCATTTTACTCAGAAATTTGGTCATTTTTTTCAGCAAAAATATATTTTAGGGTAGAAGGTTAGATCTAACCTGTTTTCTAACCTCATTTCTACCCCATATGTCCTTACTGAAAAAAGTGTGTGTTCCATCTGTCATTTTACTCAGAATTTTGTTGCTGAATTCAGCAAAAATAATGTTTAGGGTAGAAGGTTAGATCTAACCTGTTTTCTAACCTCATTTCTACCCCAGTTATTTTATAAGCGTTTTACATGGTAAACATTGTGAATTCGTGAAATTCTAAACAATTTCGTAGCTTCTATTTCTTCTGTCAGTACATCGAATGTTTTAACAATGCCGAAGGTTTCTTTATACTTCTTCTTGACATCTGAAAGAAGGAAATCGTCAGCTGTTGGATAGTTTTTGTTTAGAAATGTCAACATGTCCATTTTATCTTCTGCTGGTTTCTCTGCCTCCCTCTTTAAGTCAGCATAGTCGTTTCGCATACGTTCTATCTCTTTGACGGAGTAGTTATATTTCCTCATTGCTGCTTTACATTTAGAACATTGTGGGTTCATTTTTGCGTTATATTCTGAAACCTTACCTGCTAGTATGACTAAGGCGTCAATTGCTCTCTTTAACTCAAAAGTTGCGGGTTTTATCTGTTCATTCCATATCTTACCTCTTCTATCTTTATCTCTTATCTGCCATACACATTTTGCAACTAACGAAACAAAGTTGTCGTAGGTCTTAAACTCCCCAGATTTGTATATGTCAGAGATGTTCTTATATACCATGTCGCAATCTTTGTCCATGACTTTGTGGTTGCAATGAAATCCAAGGAATTCATAGTTAACCTTTCGTATGAACTTCTTTATTTCTACTGAGTCAGTTGCTTTGACTTCTATTTCATCGAATTCTGGAATAGTAAGCTTTTGTTGTTGGATTTCAGGAAGTTTAGGTAAATGGTCAATAATATCCTGCATTTCATAAAGATACTGTTCATTTGTTTCATCTTTCGCACAACAGTCCAAAGTACTTGTTAAAAGTTCTTGCTTTATCTTCTGGATTTTTGTTTCGAAAGTATATGAAGAAGGAATGAAGCTTTTCATCTCTACTAACATTGACGTAGGATTCATGACTAAAGAGTTTGGTGCTGTTGTTGCTAACATGTTCTTACAATAAAAATAAAAAAATATTTTTTTAAAAAAACCAACTTTATTTTTTATTTCGGGAAAACTCATGACAAATTCAAGAGGGTAGAAAAGAGGTTAGAAAAGAGGTTATATCTAACCTTCTACCCTAAATTATATTTTTGCTGAATTCATGAGTTTTGGTTGAAAGAATACGGTGGAGCCAAAAGTGGCTCGACCTCAAAACAAGCATTTTCTGTATAAAATTCATGAAAATTCAAGAGGGTAGAAAAGAGGTTAGAAAAGAGGTTAGATATACCCATCTACCCTAAATTATATTTTTGCTGAATTCAGCAACAAAATTCAAATTGTAAACGGTTTAATAGAAAAAGTGTTATTTTTTCATGTCCGAAGACTCGAAGGTGCAACACTTCCAAAATACCGACGAACTCAGAAGAGCAGCATGGCAGTATGTTCTTGACAACTTCTTTGAGTTCTCCAGGAACACCTTGGAAAATGCTGAAGAACTCCGACACAGAGAATTTGGAGAAATTGCACTCCAATACTACCTTGACAAACAAAGGGTAAACAAAGGGTAAACAAAGGGTAAAATAAGACTAAAAACTTAACGTTTAAAAAGTGACATTTTTATGAGCTCCGAGTCACCGAGAAAACTTGGTCAGATGTTAGCAGCTTACTTCCCTGAGGAGGATGGAAGCGTTACATACGTAAGGTTCAAAAACAACGAACCTGGAATTGCGTACCAAATTCGCAATTACATGACCATGGAAGAGTACGAAAGGTTCCTACAAGAGAAACCAGCTCTAAACAACTCAGAAAAGAAAGAGTAAAAAGTTTAACTCGTAATTGTTTATTTTTTTTACTTGTATGGGCAAGCTGCAAGAATGAAGTCGACTATCTCAGTCTTTGTCTTGACCAGTTGGACTGCTCTTGCGAGTACGTCTGTTTTGCGGTCTCCAGCTGGTGTCTGACCTTCGTAATTGCGCATGTTCTTGAGAGCTCCAACTGTAAATGGCTGTAGGATGAAGAGTCTCTCAGACTGCTTGAGGTAGTCTTCACGGTCACGAACCGAATCTGTGGTACGAGTCGAATCGGTCGATTTGAGGGAAGAGACTGAAAGCCTGTCGTCTTCCATAGGGGCTGTGGCATAATCTTTGCGTAAGCGGTTCAGACCTTCTTCGAACTCTTGGTCTCTCTTCGATTGAGATTGGAATTGGAATTGCTGGGGTGGAGCTTGCTGGAACATCCAAGGGTTGGGGAAGTAAGGCATAGGCTGAGGAGGAGGGTAGTTCGGGAAGCCTTGTGGTGGGTAGTAACATTGAGGTGGAAATTGGTAGTAAATCGGAGGTACTTGCTGGAACTGAGGTTGCTGAGGAGACTGTTGTGGTTCTGCAGCTTTCGGTTCTTCTGGTTGGGATATGGGCTCGGTTGGTGGGACGTCGGACATCTGTTTGTGGCTTAACCGTCGGAAGGAAAAACCTTTCCTGTCGGAAGGAAAAACCTTTCCTGTCGGAAGGAAAAACCTTTCCTGTCGGAAGGAAAAACCTTTCCTGTCGGAAGGAAAAACTTTTTCTGAAGTTCGACCAAAAGTTCTCAATTTTCGAAAATTTGAATGGTTTACGGACGGACAACTGGAAGAGTTCTTCCTGTCGTCGGGAAATTTTTTTCCAGTTGTCGGGAAAATATTTTCCTGTCGGATGGAAGGACTCGGAATACCAGAAGGATTTGACGAGGCAATTTACCTTATAGAGATAAATGAAGTTGTTAAGCAGTACTTGCGCAGGGTAATGAAGCCCAAGGTCAAGTTCACTACTATTTCTGGAAGGTCTACACTTCAGCTCGAGACTTCGACTGGAATTCCAATTCAAATACCAGACGGGACAGCCTACGATGGCATAAAGGACGCCAAAAGAGAAGCTCTTGTTAAGTTCCTAAACAAACGTCCTTGGATAAAAATACCAAACAAGGAGAACCCCCTACCCCATATGAAATTGGCAATTCAGTCTCTCCTTCACTTCTCGGGTCAGCCGTTCTACATAACCTGTGAAGGCGACATCCAACCAGTTCAGTCAACCTTAACGTTTTGAGTAAAAACATTTTTTTCATTTTTTGAATGAAGCAAGTTAAATTCGTCCCACACCAATCTCAATGGACCGATGAAGAGTTTCAAGCCATGCTTGAAGACGTTGAGAACGACATAGACGGCGAACTTGAAGGAGCTCAAATCACAATTGCAACCAAAATTGCAGGAGTCAAGGAACAGATAGCTCCACTTAAAGCTACCAAAGCTACTCTTGACCTCATGGATAGTTACCGTTTAGATGTCAAGAGTGGAATAAGACATTTAAAATTAAAACTTCTAAACTACGAAGCTATACTCCAAAAGTTAGCAGAAATGAGAAGACTTTACCAGAGCTACTTACATGTAAGGGACTTACCTTCAAGCAATCCGACCAAAGATGAATTTTCTGACATTGTCCCAATTTTGTCCGAAAGTCAGCTCAGATGTTTCGAACTGCTCCCAACATATCCAGAATATGAACGTTTGCCTGAACTCTTCCGCAATCTCAAAAAACGTTTTTTGGTTCTCATGTTCCAAACTTTTATCGGAAGAGACAACAAACGTTCAGAAGAAGAACAAGATATTATTTTAAACTTGTTGTATGACTTAACCGTCATAACAAGCTTTTTGAAGTAAAACCGTCATTCTCAAACCACTTCATTTTTTCGATGTCCGAACAAGCACCGAAGCCGAACACAATGGCAGATGTCCTTTCAATGTTGCCAGACAAGCGCCCAGTTCAAATTCAAATTTTGAATTTGAAAGCTCATCTGACAAACACCGTTAAGACTCTCCAAAGTAGTCTTATGGAAGAGATGAAGGGACTTAAAGGTGAGTTCCTCATGAACCAAGCTTCCAATGAGAAAGTCCTGAATGATTTGACGGAAACCTTGCGCATTTACGCGAGAGAGAACCGAGACCTTGCCAGACTCATCTACCGTTTCTTCGAAGAGATAGACGCCATCTGGAAGGTACTCGGAAAGGACAGAACCTCCAACACCGTAATTCGTGAGTACCAAATTGAAGAAGGAATTTTCGAGGAAGAAGAGAAACACGAAGAAGAAGAGAAACACGAAGAAGAAGAGGAAGAAGAAGAGAAACACGAAGAAGAGGAAGTTTGGGCAACCCTTGTTGCCGATGACAGTTATGAAATTTCCCAACCCTACCCATACAAAATCCGCAACAAGGAGACAGGCAAGGTTCTTACCCCAGTCCTCAACAACTTGGGACACTTGACCCTTACCCTTCGAAATTACGGTACAATTTCCATGGGAAGGCTTGTCGGTATGCAATGGGTTCCAAATCCAAACAAGAAGACGAAGGTCAGACACATTGACGGTGACAAGCTCAACAACCGTAAGGAGAACCTCGAGTGGTTCTAAGAGTAAAAAAATTTTATTTTAGGGGGAAACCCCGAGTAAATTTAGGTGTTTATTTAGTTAAGTAGCTTAAATTAATGAGAATTTGGACAAGTAGTTCCTGACCCCTGAATTGGACTCTTTCGTCATCCAGTTGCGTAGGAGGTCGTCCCAGAGGAGTTGGTAGAATTGCCAATCCAAGGACGATTTGTCCTCCCAGGCATTGAGGATGTACTGCTCGTAGAGTTTCATGACCTCTGCCTTGCACCAGACACCCTCTCC